GAAGAGATATCATGGCGTTTGACTGCTAATTGATGTTCATGAAGCGTAGATGGAGGGGGCGTCCGCTTTGTCCGATGTAGTGTTTGTCGCAGTTGGTACAATTTATTTTGTAGATGATGTTTGATTTGTTTTCCTTTGTTATTTCATCCTTTGGTTTGCATAGGATTGATTGTAGTGATTTTGTTGGTTTGTGTGCCACACCTATCCCGAAGTTTTTCAGCAGTCTCGTTGCGGTTTCTGATATTCCTTTTATGTACGGTAGGGTGATCCTTTTGTTGATTTTTGTGCTTGACTTGGGTTCTGATGCTGTGTGCCGTTGGTGCTTTTTGATGAAGTTGATTGGGTAGCCGTTCTTTTGAAATATGTCCTTCAAGTGTTTCTCTTCATTTTTTCGTGCTGCCAGTGTGCTGCAGTGTGTTCTCGCCCTCTTGAACAATGTGTGTACGCAGTTGATTTTGTGAGCTCTTGGGTTGTTGCTGTTGTAGTTGAGAATTTGATCTGTATGGGTCGGTTTCCTATATACTTGAGTTTCCAATTTTCCTGAGTCAGTTCTAGTGATCAATATATCCAAGAATGCTAGTTGGTTGTTTGACTCTTGTTCCATTGTGAACTTGATGTCATTGAAAACGTTGTTGATCAGTTTGTATGTGTTTTCCAGTTCATTCTTTTTGACGATGACGAAGGTGTCATCTACGTAGCGAATCCAAATTTTTGGCTTGATCACTGGTAATATCGTGGCTTCTAGTCTTTGCATCACTGCCTCTGCGATCAGTCCTGATATTGGTGATCCCATGGGTGTCCCTTTTGTTTGTTCGTAGATTTTGTTGTTGAATTGAAAATATGTTTTTAGGCATAAATCGATGAGTTCCAGTAGACTTTGAATTTGAAGCTTTGTGTATTTGGTGAGGTTTGTGTCGTTGTTGAGCAGCAGGGATATAGTTTCTTTTGCTAACTGTTGTTGAATTGACGTGAACAGTGCTGTTACGTCGAACCGGAACAGTTTTCCTGGTCTCCTGAAACCACGCTCTAAGCTACACTTAAGAGCTTTTAACGTCCGAACACCGTGCCAAATAGGAAAACAGGCTTCCTTAACTAGGACTTTAGAATCTCGCGCCATCGATGTGTGCTGCGTCTCCGAAATGCGCATACAGGATCCGAGTAGCGTCATTTATTTGACCTCACTATGTCAAAATAAAGAACCGACTCGATTCACACTTCGTGTATCTGGAAGCCCTAATGCTACTTCCCGTCGCCTCGCCGGCGTAGGTATAGTATTGAGCCCCAGAGCAGAATTAGTTCTCTTAGAATGGATCCCAGTAGACAGTCCTTTGAGCGCTGTCCGACTCAACGGAACAGTAAGAATCCGGAAAGATAGGGACACCCGTCGTTGCCTCTTCATAGTCTCTGCCTATTCTCCCACTGACTGCAGCTCAGATGATGTAAAAGATGAGTTTTACAGAAAGCTTTCCGACCTTCTCCGAAAAGCTAGGCGCTCTGATGTAATAGTGGCTGGTGAATTTAATGCTCAAGTAGGTAAACTAAGCGAAAGGGAAAGACACCTGGGTGGATCTTATAGTGTAGTGGCTCAAAGAACAGATAATGGCGACCGTCTGTTGCAGCTATGCTCAGATAACCGCCTCTTCCTTGCAAATACTAACTTTAAGCATAAGGAAAAACATCTTTTAACATGGCAACCCCCTAATTCGTCCCAACGTTGGACCCAAATAGATCACATCGCTATCAGCCACCGATGGAGGGGCTCGATAGAAGACTCGCTCATTCTGGAGCACATGCTTAGACTCAGATCATGCTCTAGTGCAAGCGCGTATTTGTCTGCGTCTTACTGGACGTAGGAAAGACGCTGCAAGGAAACCTCTTAGGGTCCTACTTAATGATAGTCAAGCTAAGAGTGTATTTCAGGAACAACTAGAAAAACAGTTAGGCAGCCATGTATGTGATGCCCACCCCGAGGCAGCATGGGATGATATTCGAAAAGCTGTGGAAACAGCAATGATATCTGCTAGTATGGTAAACCACAAGGTTAGAGAGCAACACTGGATTTCAGCAGCATCTATCTCACTGATAGGTGCGCGAAAACTCATTCCAGCTGGCTCTGAACATAACGAAGAGCGGAGTCAGCTTAGGCGCAAGCTGACAGGAAGCCTACGCAATGATCGTGAACAGTGGTGGGTAGCGAAAGCAAGAGAGATGGAAAAGGTAACGGCAATAGGTAATAGTAGACAACTGTTCAAACTTGTTGAGGAAACCGGTATCAGGAACCCGATCGTTAGCGAAACTGTCTCAGAAAAAGATGGACATATTCTACATTCTCAATCCAGGAGATTGGATCGATGGGAAGAACACTTTAGGGATCAGTTCAACCGGCCTTCAGCCATACTTCGGTTTCCCACGACCTCCAGTAAACCTGAATGGCAAGTTAATGTAGGTCCTCCGACTCTTTACGAAGTTGAAAAAGCTATGGGAAATCTGAAGCGAGGGAGAGCAGCAGGCCCTGACAGTTTTACTCCTGAGGTTTTTAAGGATGGTGGTCCAATATTAGCAGTGAGATTAACTGAGGTCTTAGGTAGGATTTGGGAACTGGACGTAATCCCATCTGACTGGTCTCAATCACTGATTGTGCCAGTCTATAAGAAAGGACAAAAGTCCTCTTGTGACAATCACAGAGGAATCAGTTTGACTAATATAGTGTCTAAAATATTAGCTTCAATAATACTTCGACGCCTAACGAAAGCTCGTGAAGAACAGACTATGGAAAACCAGGCTGGTTTTCGACCTAGGCGTGGTTGTATAGACCAGATATTCACACCACGTCAGGTTCTGGAACACAGACACACATTCAGACGCCCCACAATCGTAGTATTTCTCGACCTTAAGGCAGCATTCGACTCTGTTGATCTATGGCAGTGTTTGTCACTGAAAGGAGTACCGAAGAAGTACATTAACCTTGTAAAGGTTCTCTACTCGAACACAACTGGTCGAGTGAGAGCTTATGGCGAACTGTCATCAGAATTGATTACCTTAAGTGGTGTTCGTCAGGGTTGTCCACTCTCTCCATTCTTGTTTAACTTTGTCGTTGGCGTGCTTTTAGAGATAACACTTTCCTCATCTAAATTTCTAGGGGTTGAACTTCTACCGGGAGATTTACTTGTTGACTTAGAATATGCCGATGACATAGTTCTATTTGGTGAAGACGCTGACAAAATGCAGTCTTCTGACCACTCTAAGCAACAATGCAAGCATGTTCGGGATGCGATTCTCCCCCTCGAAATGCAAAATGTTGCTTCAGGATTGGGTTGCATCGACACCCAAACTAATGATAAGGAGTGAAGTAGTTGAGCGTGTCGACCGCTTTGCTTATCTTGGAAGTCTCATCAGCCCCTGTGGTCTGGCGTGTGACGAAATCTCAGCACGGATACAGAAGGTTCGACTAGCTTTTACCAACTTGCGTCATTTATGGCGTAGGCGAGATATCCGCCTATCAACCAAAGGACGGGTTTACTGCGCAGCAATTTGTTCCGTCCTACTTTATGGCAGTGAAACATGACCGGTAAGAGTAGAGGATATTCGTAGGTTACTAGTATTTGATCATAGGTGTCTTTGAAAAATTGTTCGTATATCCTGGGACCATCGAGTAAGTAACGCAGTTGTTAGGAGATGGGTACTAGGTAAGGATGGCAAATCAATTGAAGTAGTGAAACCTCATCAGTTGAGATGGCTGGGATACGTGTTACGTATGCCCAAACACCGACGTGCGATGTTCAATGGTATAGGAGTAGGTTGGAAGAAAGCTAGGGACGGCCAGACCAAAACATGGCACGAATCCATGAAGTCACTGACAAGTGGACTGAGCCATGTCGGTAGGTGTAGACTACCTGGTTGGGGACCGCGAGATGATAGCAACCGATGGTTAGAGATGTTGAATGACATGGCTCAAAATCGTTTGCAATGGCGCAGATGCATCCACTCTTTGTGTTCTCCCGAATTCTAATCTTCTGAATTCTTCGTGTCCCTTTTTTCTCTTTTTCCAAGTTTATTTCACTAGATTATACTCCCTGAATAACATCTTCAAACCCTAATGTTTACGATGACTGCTTATACTCCTACCACCTCTACCACTATGGGATTTGAATCGACAATTTTATCTGTGTGATGTGGCAACTCGGACTGATGTACGTACGTATGTACGAAGTTCTATGTTTTTACTGATTGACTGACGGAGTATTCGTTCCTACATACATTTTGCTTTTGCCTTTTCGAATCATATTTTCAATGGTTAGTCTTCCTTATTATGGTTAGTAATATATTGTCTCAGCTGTTTAACTATTCTTCGTGTTAACTTTATTTTATCGTGCTAATGGGATTTGGATCTGGGATAAGACATATCAGTGTCAGGCTCTGAGTTGATTATAACTGTCCATCTGTTTACTTGAGCAAACCTAGTTTGATATTCATAGCCTTGTTATTCTGGAATATCGTTGTTCAAATTTTTTACACACGATATTTTGTGAGTAGTCGTTTGGGTTGGATGAACTCTGCACATTTTAAACTTAACCAATGACAGTGGGAGTTTTTGGGGTTATGTTAATTTTAAAGATAACCTTGTTAGAACCTTTCTTTAGTTAATGGTAAGACTGGAGATTTATGCGAAACATTACAACAGTTACACCCTAGTGAAACTAACAGTACGATCTCGTTACTAGACCTTGGGTTTACTGCTCTTGTTCTTACTACTCTTCCAACTGACCTGCCTAGGATTATAAAACTTTATGGAGCAAATGTCCTAGGTCAATTGGGTTGTCCTAATATGTAAGAGACAACTCCAGTGTAAGCCAGTCAGTATATTTTCCACATTAAGTAGATGAGTACGTTCTACAATTTGACTAATAATTTTTTAAGCACTAGTAATAATATATTGATGTTGAACAACTCTTTCAGTGTACTAAAGGAAACTGGAAATCTGAATTTCTAAAATAGCTTACTTTATTTCTTTCTTTAATTGACGATCTCCTTCAATTTCTTCAATTGGTCTTAATATTCGATCGAGACGATTAAGGCGTCTGATTTCTTTTTCAATTCTTCTAACTTTTCTAGTTACTTGAATTTGGCTATCAGCTAGGCCGACTCTTTTCTTCTTTTTTAAAGGTTCTGCCCTATACAATAATAATAGAGAAAAATTCAACTAGTTTTGAAATTGACATAACCTACATGGTAATTGATGATGTATGCAGCCCAGCAAAATGATTGATAGTTCTTGGTTGAATAAATAGACTTTGTACAAACAAGCTAATTATTGCGATTATCATACTACTGAAAGATTTATCCGTACCTTGTTAATCTCTTTAACATGTCTTTCTATATTTCTTAGTAATAAAATGCACTGGTGCACAGCTGATAATTATCTAAATAATATTAACGTTTAGTGAAACATTTTAAGCATATCGGATTTTCTAAAACTCTTTAAAACCAAATACCAGAAAAATATTGTAAACAGTGCAATCTCACGTAACAGTTGGACATTTTGGTGAATATGGACTAGTTGGTACGCCTGGTATTCAACTTATAAACTCATTCAGCTACAACGTAGGATCAGGCACATATGTGCATCGGTTCAAGTTGCCATACCTAATTAGCACAGCAAGATCAACACACAACTCATTATTTATTATTTTTATTTCAACACATAGATAATGGTACAAAGAGGCACCAAATACATATGCGCCACACAAATCTCATCCGATATGTGTGAGGGCTGTGATACTGCCCGGGTGTCCAAACCGAAGCAGGTGGTTTTCTTAGGGGGCCACACCCCGAGCCTTCGACCTGAGGGTCTGATCCACAAGGCAGTGGAGCATCGTAAGGAGATGCAGTCCCATGGAAGCCGGTGACCAACAATTGGTTCATTCGCCATTTGTTCCCGCAGGATACTGGAGCCCATGTGCACCATTGGTTTGGAATCCGGTTAAAGCGCCGGACATTCGCTTTTCGTCCTCTCATTTTCGTAAACAACACCCCCGCCACGAGAAGGCAGTGAGTAGGACTTCCCTGACAGAGGCTATATACGCGTGGCCGTGTGAGAGTATTTCGAGAGGGAGAGCGGACTCTCCCCACTCTCGGCCGTACCAGGGCATTTGGGGGCTTTAAAGCCGGCGACACCCGGTATTCCCAGCCGGTCACCCATGCAAGTACTGACCGGGCCCAACGTTGCTTAACTGCGGTGATCGGACGAGAACCGGTGCTTTCAACGTGGTATGGTCGCCGGTGATCAATTCTCAGCCACGTCACATTCTCCAACTATTGGTTACAAATAGTCGCGCGGACCCTAACTAAGTATTCTACAACTACCAACATGGCTCAGATTAGAAGTCAGTGACCAAGCACTGATGCCACTTATTGGTCTGGCCGCTCTTAACTATCTTCCAACCATCCATAAAACCAGTCAAAATTACCCGTCTTGGTAATTGGTGTTCACGCATACGCAACACGTGGCCCAACCATCTCAGTCGATGAAAATTCACAAACTTATCAACTGATCTACCATCATTCCCTAATACCATGCGTCTAACCTCACTATTACTTACCCGGTGATCCCAGCAGATGTCAGCAATATTTCTAAGACATCTGTAGTCAAATACTAGTAGCCTACGAGTATCTTATATTCTTAATAGCCACATTTCGCAGCCGTGAAGCAAAACAGAACGAACTGCCGCACACTATACCCGTCCCCGAATTGAAAGATGGATATCTCGCCCCCCGCTATAGATGACGTGAGTTGGCAAAAGTCAAACGAGCTTTCCGAATCCGTGCATAAATTTCACCAAACACTAACCCATTAGGGCTGATCAGACTTCCAAGATAAATGAAGTTGTCAACGCGTACGACTACTTCACTCCCTATCCTCAATTCAGGTGTTGATGCAATCCAGTCCTGAAGCAATAACTTGCATTTAGAGGGGGAGAAGCGCATCCCAAACATTCTGGTATTGTTGCTCAGTGCTACCAAAAGACTGCATTTTATCAGCGTCTTCGCCAAACGGGACTATATCATCTGCGTATTCTAAATCGATAAGTGGACCTCCTGCAATGCTAGTAGTTAAAAATTAACACAATCATCTGGGAGGGATGCGGGTTTGTGTAGTACTACCAGTCAATAACTATAATCAGAATAAAGTCGGGAACAAATGTTCCCCAGTCCAAGTTACCACACTGTATTAGCATGACCAGATGAAAATAAAACGAGATAAGAGCGAAAATCGAAATAAAGTAGTAGGAATGATAATGAAAAACCGAATATTGTTTGGAAGAACGAAGTAGGAAGGTGTGTGTGAAGGAATACCGGGATTTAATTATATTGTAACTTGTTTGACTATATTTTGTGCCATTACTGTTGAACTGTAAAATCTGTTCGTTTGTTTTTTGTACCGTATTTCACTTTTTAAATACAACTGACTGATCACTGCACAGTTAGCAACATTATTCTCACGATTACATGTACACCTTGTTAGTAAAACCGAAGCAGCACGAAACTCAGGTCTAGGGTTTCCCGTCGAATACCTTCAATTATTAACCTCTCAACAATCTGCACGCGATTATGAGTCACCTGGATTAATAGCCATATTGAAACTTGACCAGTGGGATTCTATCAGCACTAATAGGGACTAGATATACATAATGTTAGTCACTATCCAGTGATCAACCAGTTGTAAATATCTTAGTTTTATAGGGTGTCAGTCGTAGCCCGAATAGCTTAACGGTAACGCCTCAAACTATGAAGCTGGGTGGAGGTTAAAATTTTGCAGAAAATACAAGTTTCCTTGAGATTACATGAACATCTTGCTGACTAATCTTGAATAGCGCGAGACCAAGGTCCAGGGTTTCCTGTTGACCACCCTCAACCACCTGACACTTTTTACTGTTTGATAACAGCCTTCGTTTTATTTGCTATTTGTATTCCTTCTTTACGTTGGTTTGCGTTGTATCCATGTCTGTAGGTCAAATAGGTTGGACACAAGTCGATAAGAGCCTTCATTCTCTCATTTCGGAAATATGCCCACGCCATGTAAATTAAACCCAAAAACAATGTTTGGCAGTCTCCTGGCCACCTTCAGCAACAGTGCAAGTGTTTCGGATGGGATTCTCTCCCTCCAAATGCAAAATATTGTCTTAGAACCAGTCTGCATCATGTCCAAGATTAGTGACAGAGTGAGCTGATTGAGTGCTTCGACTGCTTCACTTATATTGGGAGTCTCGTCAATCCTGATGCCTGCCCAAATCTCGGCATGGATTCAAAATGTTCAGCTGGTGTTTGCTAACCTATGCTAATATAGTCAACACAGTCAACTGAAAACCAAAGGACAAGTTCACTGTTTAACTGTACTCTATTTTATCTTATGCATGTAAAACAGCTTTTAAGAATAGAGGATATTCGTTGGCTACTAGTACTCGATCACAGGCGTCTTCGAAGCACCACTTGTGTATTTTGAGACCACCTAATTAGCAGTGTTGAAGTTAGGTGAACGGTACCAGAATAAGATAGCAAGCCGGTTGACGAGGTGGTGAGTCTCTGTTGACTGAAGTGGTTGGGATATGTATTACGTATGCCTAACTGCTGAATACATCAGCAGGCAATGTTGATTGGTGTAAAAATAGGTTGAGAGGAAGCCAGGAGTTGAAAAACCAAGATGTAGCTTTAGACCATGAAATCATTAACTACTGGACTAAGTTAAGGTTACTTAGTTGGGATCCATGTGATTATTGTAACCAATGACTAAAGACTTTGGGTGACATGGGTGAAAATCATTGGCAATGGCGCAGACGCATTCACTTTTTGTCTTCCCTAAGTTCCTAAGTACTGGATGACCAAGTTTGTTAAGGTTTAAAAACTGACTCAAAAATAAGAGACGAATAAAAATAGGATATTCTTGAAGTCAAATATTTAAAAGGCGCTAAAGAATAAATGCGTCTGCACTACTGTTACGAATTATAGGCCATTTCATCTCCGATCTACTACTGTTCACAACTATTACACAGATTCCAACCAGGTATAGATTTTCGGTTATAGTTCTACTTGATCATATATATCTTAGTACAACCTATATAACAAAATACAAGTATAAAACAACTAGAGAACAAACAAACTAGACGATGGGACAAACCTAAAGTAACAAGACAGTCTGTGTTAATTGTCCCAAACTTCACTCGAAAATGAATGATAATGTAGAACAATTATATTTCATTCCAACACGTCACACTAGACACAATCACTTTGCTGAGTTTTTAGTCTGTTTCAAAGTCAGAGTATCATGTGAAATAACAAATAACATATTCAACTACGCTGAACATTAGTTGAGGATATGATTGAACAATTATAAATAAATAAATAAATTGGATAGACTATAAATAATCTCTAAAATATTGTGCACTCGTTTCTTAATGTCATGTAGCAGAGGATTTTAAATGATTTTTTTCTAAAATGAAAAAAGAGAATGCTGGCCGATAATTAATACACATAATAAGGTGTGGCTCCGTAATAGCTGCTGATGAAACTAAACTGTTGCGTAAGCCCGGGAACAATTTGAAGTCAGAGTCAGTGACCAGTAGCCAGAATAGTATTTTACCTAGTGAAATAGCATGTTTCCAGACAAACTATCAGATAATAAGGTTGCTATAACAATTAGTCATTACGTCACCAAACGACGGTTTGGCTTGTCGTACGAACTCAAAATAATTGAATAGTAAGAATATGGAAAAGAGAGGAATCACATTTTGAAATGCACTAAAACTTAGTTAAAAATGAGTAAGAAACTGAGTAAACGAAGATGTGATAAGGCGTAAAAGTCAAGAGAAAACTAACGAGCATTAATCCACGCTTTCTTGTCTTATGTTGTCACTTCTTCTATCAGCAGGTAATTCGTGGATAATTACAGTCTTCCAACATTCTCTATAGATAGTCTGCTAACAAGATTACAAATACATTGGTTGAAGAGGGGCACTCCACGTGTAACAGATACGTAATGTGAGTACGTACCTAATCTCCTAATTTTTGGGAAAATTTGACCCATTTTTAGGAGACTTTGAAGAAATGGCACCAAAACCCCAAAATTCCCCTAAATGTTGGGTTTTTGTCCAACTTTGGTGAAGGTCATTTGACGTTGAAGATTTCCTCGAAATTGGGAGCTCAGGTAGGATATTACACAGGTCCTTCCTTGTTGATAAACAACCCATGGATAATTTCTTCATGGATCATTACGATCAAGCATTAATGCTTGATTATAACCAACATGTTGTGTGTGCACACACGAATATAACGAGATATTTGGTGCTGAATCACAAATTTATCTTACACTACTTAACTCCAAATAAACTTCTTTATAGAAGGTAATAAAAAAGAGGTTTATATACATATGTATCCCCTAAGGGATACATAACTGAATTCTACTTCATTGCACTGTTAACATTTTGTACAGAACACTTGCAGTTAGATCCCAACCGTAAAAAACGAACTTTTTCTGTGACGGTAGCTGGTTTACTTATTTCGAGACGAATTGTGACCTATGACATGATAGACCTGACTGATAACTTACCTCCTAAGTAATCCACATTCAGTAGTGTTTTACTTTAACCCTACCGCTTCCAATGTTAAATAGTTTCGAACGGTAGTGCATGAATTAGTACAAGCTTTCCCTCAATGGTCTTCCATATAGAGTAGTAGTGGATCACCGACGCCTCCAGGTATGGACTTAGGCATATTAGACAAACAATAAAGAAATATCAGCAAGTTATAGTGAAATACCCCTTTGAGTCCTTAAGATTGTCAGATTTCCTCATGAAGAACTCCTAGGGAAGTCGCCTAAATCACCTCAACTGAGAGTTAATTCCAGGATCTGACTACTCGTATGGAGCAGAAGGTGTGCTTTCTGCCTATTCTGCTATGTTGCGCCCCTAATTTATGAGTATTGCTCCCAAGGTTTATTTTAGGACTGAGCTTTCCCCAACAGACATAGTAGCTGTTATAACAGCCAGCTCGTATGGTTGGCTACAGCACAGTAAGTGATTAAAAACAGTACATGCAATAATATCTTGACAGTTAGTAAAGGAGCTCATAACAACTCAGAGACAACATGGTTGATGAAAACGACAAAGCCATCACCAATAAAATAGCTCCAAAATGACGAACCTGCTATCCGAAACAACGAAATTCCCAACTTATTCAAATATATAACCCACTAGGGATATATCTGTAGGGTTTTGGGCATAGACCTGTATTAGAACATGTCTTATTAGTCACCCCCAACTGTCTTTGTACATTTTGTGTTATCGTGGTGTTTATTATCGTTGTTATAGATAAGCAGTGTAATCAGTCTACACATCAAAAATTTCGTTTTTGAAGCACATTATCTCATTTAAATCTTTCCTGAAGAATCTTACTTCACCAAATTGTAGAATGACGATACAGTCAGAGATTAATATAAACTTCAACTCAGTGTTTTTACATAAGTTTTTAATTTAGGAGACTCCTAACATGCTAAGGTTGAACACTGTCACTTTCTGAAGCGAAATTTCTCATAAATATACTGACTAAAACAACTTCTCTCCTTGTCTGATCTACATGTTACCGGCGAAATTCGACGGATGAGTAGGAGTCTTAAATGAATACATTTATGTTTATATTGTTTATGACATTCGCTCGTGGTGATAATCAGCAATATGATATTTATGACTTCTGAAAAACATGTTTGAGTTGAGAATAGAATAATAGATTTGGTATGAAAAAGAATAAGTTGCACAGTTACCATGCATGAATGGCTGAGCCATGCGACGGCAACTTTGTTCCGGAGTTCACCGCCTTTGACCTTCTATAGGCGTTACTTGTCCAATGTAAATCTTCTCAGTAAACATATATTTAGTTTCAAAGGTCATGTGGTTAGGAAACATACCACTACATCGTAAACATTTCTTGAAGTCTCACACCTGCGAAATCGGCACAGTATTGCCGGGCTTGTCACTATGCAAATCAAGATATTGTAGCGGTAAATAAATCCCCAAAATAAATAGCTCTGTAAGTTTTCAACATTGGATGCTGACTATATGTTTTAGTGGACTCATCTAGCTGAAGGCGCTCGAGCATGCATCCGCACCAGATCACGCGTGGTAACGCTGTGCTCAACATCTACCGCAATCGCTAGCCAGATTAGACCAGAGAATTCCGATATAGTGGTAATCGCCAAATACACTCTTCCGATCTCCTCGACTCTGTCTTCTGATTTCTCTCATTGGGAACAAAGTATATTAGAAGGTGTTACTGGTAGAAGCGTTGTCAAACACTGAATACCTGTATCATCGTCAATATGTTCCCTTTCGAACTTCTGTCCATCGAAATCTGCTCAACCTTTCAATAAAGTACCATCTGACGCTTGGACATTAAGGACGATAGGATAATTTTATTTGGAGTCCTTCCATTCATGATTTTGAAGCGGTAGCTTTCTCAGAGCTTTTATTTCGACCAACAATCACCCATTTCTCTGTTCCACTATCAGTGATGGAGACGTTTGTACCTGACGGTTATTGATTCATTATTCCACCTCATTACTTTCAGCCAGATTCAGTTACGTTTCATTCTTCAGGACCAGCTGGCGCGTAATAGAGGGATTCTTGGCTGAGAAGAGGTACGAATCGTGTTCTATTCCAAATAAAAATTGAAGAACTAAAAGATCTGGTTAGTGATAGTGGGAATGAAGCAACACCCAATGCAACCGCTTGTAGTATTTGCATGATCATTGTAAATCTCAAGGCCTCCTTTTGTAGGACTGCAAGAGATGTCGTTGCTATTGTTTCTGGTGAATAGTTTCACAATCTAGTGAGTCCACTCACAAACGACCCATATAAACGTTTGCGAGCTGATTTGTGTTCTGTCGTGAATGAATGTCCTCCTAGGTGTGATTTAACAGTTATTTATGAAAGTGAAGAAGATTATGATCAATAAAATATATCATGATGACAACCCTAGTCAACTACTTCCGTACTACAGAGATTGAGCATTTACGGCGTCCAGAGGAGCAATGTAGATGTCTTTGGACACGTTATACATGGCATTACTCTTCTTGAATTAAGGAAATATACTTCGAGCGTTCCTTTTCAGATGATGACTGAAGTAAACAGAATAGCTTTACGTAATTCAGAGGCCCAGCTATCTACTATTATGCAAACAAATTCCAAGACACAATATGCTTTTTGACCACAGAATGTCTGTAAGAAGAGATATATAGATTATAACAAGGTGTATTCTGCAGTCTTTTTCAGTCGTACGGTGTGATACCGAAATCCGGATGTAATTTCACCACTGTTCACCATCCATATTCTGCATTATCTAGTGTTAAGTGGTACAGGGCTTCTGCTGGTCGAGTCAAATATTCTGTCCAAGTCTTATTGAGGAGACAAGCTAGCATTTAGTTTTATTATCTCCCTCAAGATCTTAAGGTCATTCGAGCATAACAGAGCTTTGTGGTCTAGAACACTAGATAAGTTGTTGATAAACGATTAGAAGACGAGGGATCCTATGATTGAATCTTGTGGCACTTCACCTATCATTTAAAAACTGTCAAACAGTGTGGAGCGAACTGTGATGGCTTATAATCTTCCCGACGTGCAGTAACAGTAATCTATTTCCAAGTGAAAGGAGATAGACAAGGCGAGGCAAGTAATTTTATTGAACACTCACCGGCACACTTATCGTGTGTTTTAGTCAGTGAATTCTACGAATAACAATAATTGGTGTCTTTGAATGGTTTAGAATGCCTATGTGACAAGGATTTTTACGTTACAATTATAAGATTCAGGAATTCCTGACAGTCACTGAATCCATGTGTATTACGTACATGAACGAATACCGTGTTGTAAGTCAGAAACCACAAAAACATAGAGTCAGTAATTAGAAAACGTCTATGCAGCACTGTTTCTGAAATTCAGCTGGTCACTTGAAACAGTAATTGGCGCAGTTTCGCCAGCTCAGGTGTCGTTCACAAGGACAAACTTTTGAAGGTTACTGAACAACTCAAGGGATCAAAAGATTTACTCAACAGTTAATTAGGTCTACTAAGTTTGGAGGACGCCAATGTCCTGATACGCAGTAGAACCTTTTACTGTTTTTTCATGGATCTTGGTCCATACAAATACAGGTGACGTAAAATTATGGAGAGGCATCTTTAAGAAAACCCTACAGTACTAATGAAGTGTCCACAAAACAGTTTACAGCTCACACATCAGAAGCTTTATGTAATGCTCCTTCTCATTCCAGAAACATGGGTATCTCCTTTTCAACGGTGTAATGTGGCGTGAACATATTTTTTTAAAAAGCCAGTTACAACTATGGAGGAGTCAAGCCGAAGGATATATTACACTTCACTTCGTTCAAAAAAGCTGGATTTTCTGACTTCGAGTGTTTTTGTGGTTCAGCTTCCCTTCATTCATTGTCACCAATAAATTATAGGCAACGAGAAGATCGGCTCCAAGAATGGGCTCCTTCCCTTATGCAATTAAGAAAATCCATATGGAATGTCGACAGAGTCCGAGGTCTAATATTAACGACTGTTTTCCTTATCTCATGAATACCGTTTCTTTGGCCACTCGTAGGAATACTTTGCTGCTTGACGTGTGTCGCTGTCGTGATGATTCTAGTGGGAGTATGCTGGTTTATGCCCCTGTGTCGACTAAACGTTTGGACCAGAATTGTAATCCCTGATATGGAATAGACAGCTTGCTGTTTGGCCAGAAACAGTCGTCACTATCACTATCTAGGCGGCTTGCTTCCTTGATTTTCATTATTGTATGTTGTGAACGTGCATTGTCTTATGCATTACCAGGCATTTACACCATATTTTTGATTGTGCCAACAAACTCCCGGACTTTCTTTACGTGATTTGAAATGCTATTTCGAGAACGAATTTTTTAATACCGATCTAGCTCGCTTGGCGTGGATAGTAGACACGGTTGCTTGTAATGCTGCCTGCTTATTTATCAGATAAGTGTCGTTGAAATGTAGTCATGCCACTGGTATCCAGTCCGACATCAGCTTATACAATGTTTTTGATCTGACCATCGGGTTACATCTCCATAAATTTATCTGCCATATCTGCCAGGTCCCTCAGTGTAATTGATTTAACTGACGTGCTGAGAATCTGCCTGAAATTATTAGGTAGACATTGTGGACACTTTTGTTTCAATAAAACTTCACCTAATGTTTATGGACCGGCTAATTACTTTATATGACTCAAGAGTTGTGAAGGTTTCTTATCCCTTAAATAATACACTGTTAATATTTGCTGTATGACTATCTTATGGACCATGCCCCGGCACTTGTTTGGTTAAATCATGGACTTCTGCAGAGATTTAGATAAGAGGAGAACGTACTACATGTGTGTAATTCGTTGTATATGACCGAATTCTTCGAGCTATAAACAAAGCTTATTTTTGGGAAAACCATATCCTTGCGTTGATTATCCCATGTGCAAGAAGTTTGAATTATGGGGTGGCGTTAACTGTGGTTAATTCGGAATGAAAAATTGAGGTAATACAGTGGAAGCTTTTCAGAGAAGACCTTCAATGTCACTAATATCACCAGGAGCTTACATATATGGTAAAATAGAATG